TTGCTTTCTTGCTTTATCTGCTTGTTGAGGGCTATATGTTGGTATTTTTGTGGTTGCCATTGTGTAGGTTATTGGAGTGTCATGCCCTTTGCATACAGTCACTTTCATTTTACATTAGGTCCGTGTCGGAGGTGAACCTGACCTCTAGTCTAGAATCCTTACGAATCTGGCTTGGAAGAGCAATTCTATCTACTTGAGGAGTAAGATTGATTCTCGTTAGGTTATTTCCATTGGTTAATACAACACCTAATGATGTAATATCATCTTGTGTATTAGCTTTTGGAAATATCTCTCGTTGATTCCAAAAGGATAAACAGTTGAGAAGGCCTAATGCCTTTTAGCAAAACATTTAGTAGCCTTAGAGAGATACCAACCCTAGGACATGTTTCCCTTAACATCCCACCCATGAGGTTAAAGTTCCCGTGTCTAAGACACAAAGGGGCATTTTTCTTCACTAACTTCGTCTCCGTACATGACAGGTTTTTGTTCTTATATACATTTGAGGTATGATTAGTTATTCATCTTCTGCATTTAGACATCATTCTTGAGGTGAGGAACATTCCATGCACTTTGTATCTTTACTTTTAACCCCATAGATCACTAAAAAAAAAAAAAAGAGAGAGAAGTTCATGATTGTTTCACATGTCATACATCCATCTAATTCATTTCACATTAAATCTTCCATATGTCTTGAAAATTTCAAATATGTCCATTGTATTGCATTTTCCATCTCATGCATCACACAAAATATGTTTTCATGTTCATTTTGTGTGGCATTCTCCATCATATTCCTTTTACATCCCATTTTCCATCTCTTATTTCACAAAAATTTACAAACAAAAATGAAATTCCACCCATGTTTATTACATTACATCTTTCATCTCATAAAAAAAAAATTTGCACAAAAATATAAAAAATCTCATTGACACGCATTTCATACTACATTTTCTATCTCAAATTTTTATTCCAAGCATTACTACCTCCATCTCTTATTTCCCCTATTTCATAAAAGTTGCATAAAAAAATTTTAAAAAATGGTGAAAAATGAAAAAAATGAAAATTTTATCTATATTCATTTCACAGTGCTAGTTTCCCTCTCATATTTATTTATCTCATCCTTCTCACATTTTGTCCAAAAAAAAAAAATTTCATAAAAATGAAAATTTCTTCCATGTTCATTTCACATTTCATTTTTAATCATATATTTCATTCTAACCATCACTATTTCCATTTCATAGTTCAAAAACAAGTGCATAAAAACAAAAATGGAAATTTCATCCACATTCATTTCACATTGCATTTTCCATCTCACATTTCATTTCAAGTATTACTATTTGTATCCTATATTTCTCATGTATCTCACACTTTATAAAAATTGCATAAAAATGAAAATCTTATCCATGTTCAATTCACATTACATTTTTTATCTCATTTTTCATTGCAACCCATATTCAACCTTACATCACATTTTCCATCTCATGTCAAATTGACATTCATCTCATGCTCATTTCATGTTTAGAATAAAATTAAATTTGGTTCTCATATTTTCTTGTTCTTCAATCAAGTCCTTCAAGTCAAGATTTTCAACAAAAATTGTCCAAACTCTCATTAAAAGAAGTTTTCATCATCTTACATTTTCTACAAAAAATTTATAATTGCATGTTTCAAACTTGTGGGTCTTATTCAACCAAATCCAAAGCATTTTACATTTTGAAAAAAAAAAAAGAAAGAAAAAAAGAGGTTCTTCAAAGATAAATTCATGAAAAATCCATCCTTTAGGCATTAAAATAATTTGAGCACATAACTTTGGAGCATCATATCATCATTACTTCTAAGCATCACGCCATTCACTTTTTCTTCTAGCTTCATGATATTTGCTCTTTTTCAAAGGAACGATATTTCTTATGAATGCTAATTTAGTGGTTGCAATAGTAAATCACTAACTTCTTCTTTGAAATTTCCTTAGCATACTTAATGAAGACAAATTCATGTTTTAGGATACAATTTCACACACATTACCACTTGTTAGCATATTTATATTATTGCATCCTTTATCTCTCATTTCCCATCCATGTTTATTTCTTTTCTTGCATTCCCAAAAATGAATGCTTTAGGATACAACTTCACACACATTACCACTTTTAAACATATTTATGCTTTTGCACCTTTTATCCCTTGTTTTCCATCCACATTTATTTCTTTTCTTGCATTCCCAAAATTCCATGTTTTAGGATACAACTTCACACACATTATCACTTTAGAGCATATTTATGTTCCTTCATCCTTTATCTATTGTTTGGCATCCATGTTTATTTCTTTTCTTGCACTCCCATAATTTTGTTTGATTCTCTGCTTTCAACAATTGAAATATGGATTCATACATGGTCAAGCGCTAATCTTTGTCAGTCTAGACATCTTTTGAAATTTTCATCCATGGAGAAAGTTTTGACCGATAGATGATTCAGGAGATCTTTAATTGCAATCGTTTTCTCCATCATTGACAATTGTTAAGTCTAGGGGGCAAGCTTAGAAGGACAAAAACTAAAAGCAGCCTTGAAGATCAAAAGCTCAAGCACATCACACTTTATGTGGCTCTAGCAATTAAGGGATTCTCCAAGGAAAGGAATGCAACTACTCATTAAAGAATTGTACTTTGAAAGATCTAGGAGTTAGATTTTACTAGGGACTTGAATGCTACCATGTTGATGTACTTAGTGTGATGTACTAACTTCTACTTTGTAATGAATGACCATCTTTGTAATGCATGTTGAATTACTTGTAAGTGTCTTTTCTATAACCCTTGGAGTCTGATGGAAATCTCAAGGCGTTCAAAGATATTTTGCTTCATTTGAGGCTCCTTAAGGATTGGAAATCGACAATGTGTGAATCCACATAGCAATTGTTGAAGCATTAAATCATGCAAAATTATGGGATAGCTTCTAACATTATTCTGATTTTGTTTTATTTTTGTTTTATTTTTTGTTTGTAGGTAGGCTTCATAAACTACTTCAAAAACAAAAATAAACAAATCAAGCATGGCAATCCACCTATGTTTTCTCTCTCTTTGGAGAAATGCATCATCCATTTAGAAGGTAACCTCACCACGCTATTATAAGCTCACCAAGATATGATGTTGAACATCCTTTTTACTCATCTCATCTCTTAATCGAGTATGTGAATCCTTTTCTAAGCAAAGACAAGACTGCTTCATAAATTGAGCATCAAGATGAAAGATAGCTCACTTGATACTTCAACAACTTGTTCAACTTCGGTATCAATTTTTTTAAGAGTTGAATGCACCATCAGTGGACCTACACACAAGGTGTGTGGATTTAGATTCAGCGGATGAGGGGCCAAATCTAGGATATGGGGAAATTTGAGTATTATTGCTCCTAAAGATGAACCCCTATTTGACATGACCATTACTTCTACCTTGGGGGCACTTTGGCTAATTGGATAGTGGAGCTTTTCTCTGCTTCATTCATCTATGAGTAGGATAAGTTAGCTTTCTAGTAGCTCAGCTTGTGGCTACATGAAAGGAGGGAATAACAAGCTCTTTTATATTCTTTGAAATATTTGTTATCATGCTAATTAGTTTTCTAGTCTTTACAATTCTGTAACACATGTTACCATATCACCATCCATTAACGTTGATGCAACTCTTCTTGTTAATCATTGTGCAAACCATCATTCACCATTAAAACATCATTTGATACCATTAATATGCTCAAAAAAAAAAAAATCATCCTTGCATATATATGCTTTCCTCTATGCTATTACTTATCCAAATTTCTCTTTGCATTCAGGCTTTGCTAATGATGAATCTGAATACAATGACGCAATTTCAAGATTGATATATGTTTCAAATGATCCAAATCCATGTCGAGGAAGATGATGGTGATCTAGATTCTCCCCTTGAATTAATTGATGTGTTGCAAAATAGAGGCCAAAGTTGTAATCAAATGTGATAGACTCATACAAGAAGAAAATGGTGAGAAAAGATTTGAAAAAAAAAAAGAGAAAAAAGAGAGAATAAGGAAATCTTGCTAACTTAAGTTGAACGATTGTCATCATTTTGAGGACTAAAGTGAAAAGCTCAAGGATCAAAGGCCATCTGTCATGAGCCTAATTCCCAAAAACTTTACCCAAAAGAGTCATCCCTTCGTCAACCAAGTTGAGCCTAAAAAAGAAAAAGTGAGCCTTTTCTTTCATACCTATCCCAAAACTGGGGAATATAGTTACGTGCCTAATTGGAGGCAAGATCATATTGTTAAAAGCCATGAAGAGAAATCTCAAAAAAGGAGCAAAGTTCAGAAAGAGCAAAAGCTTAACAAAAGGAAAAACATTAAAAAAAAAAGAGAAAAAGAAAAAAAAATGACAATGCAAATGTCACATGGCAAAGGTTTGAAATGGAAAGCTCCTAGCTAAAGCATGTAACTTGGGGGGCATGTTGGGAAATTTTGAGCCTTTAATTCCCATTCTTTTCCTAAAAGCTTAACCAAACCCTATTACAACCCAAGGAAAAGTCCTTCTTGAGGGTTTTGAAACTTTAGATATCAAAATGATGGCAATCATTAGACTAAGAATAACAAATCATGATCAAATTCAAGAGCTAATAGATTTAATGATGAGAGGCCATGTTTGTTTATCCTAAATGTTTTACATTGTCCTTAGTCATCCTTTTTGAGCCTAAAGAAAAGGCAATCATCCAAATTATAAGAGTGTAATACCCCAAAATTTCTAGAGCATTAAAGTGTGAGTTAGAGACCTAATTGTGAAGAAATATTATTAATGAACTTAATGACAAAAATTTTCAAAGTTCAGGGACTTAAAAGAAAGGAAATGAGATAAGGATCAACTGATATTTTTATTTCCTTTTCTTCCCAGCC